AGGAAAGGGAGAGTGTGTATGTATGTCTTCAGAGATGGAGAAAACCCAGACAGATATTTCACACACACACACCTCTGCCTGCTGAAATGTTAATAAGATTTTTAAGCTACCAACTAAAGTATTTTAGCAAGTCATTTAGACACTTGTGACATGGGCTCACTCTTTTGATGAAGTCAGAGGGTGAGGACTCCATGTTTGAATAACAAACTGGAGTTGAGGTTGGAGTCAGGGACAGATTTGCTTGAGCTGGTTGGGAGGTAGATCTCCCAAAGAAACTAAGCCCTCTGCTGATATAATGAAGCACCCAGCTTCCTCCAAATCCTAATTATTACTCTGCTAAAAATATTCAGTAATGAGCATGAGCAGAGAACCTTTTTTATCATGCTTTTCAGAATTGCGGCGTTTGGTTATAGAGCTATTTTAAGCAGCAGCAAAGCACATGTTAATGAAGGAAACTTTCAACAGTAGTAGGCAATATTAGAATGATGATGAGTAATGTGGACCTTACAGTCTATTTAATTTAAGCTCCAGATTTTCATCCAGCTTTGCTAAAGGGGAGGTTGACTTGCTGCTCTTACAAACAGAAAGGAGTGCTATAAAATATATGTCCTCGATAGACCATGATTCAAGAATAAAAGCCAAACGTGAATACCCTGGCTGTTTCTGAGCATCCTTCTCCCACAGTGAATACTCTGGCCTTCTCTACCTGGACCCCAAATGAATCTCCACATGGACTCTCTTCTGGGGAGGAATCAGCAGAGCAGATTGAAGGACCACAAAGGAGAGTCCTTGCCTATTAAAGCTCCCTTGTCTATTATCGTTGATGTTGTTAGTAGCCACTGAGATGAGTATGACTGATAGCAACCCTATGAACAACAGATCTGAACCCTGTCAAGCCCACTGCTGCAGTCCCTGTGTCTATTATTAGTCATATCTTTGTATTTGTATCTAGAGTGTATATCTTAGATATACAGATATGACTAATAATATGTAGAGATATATTGACAGTATCATGATGGAGAAAAGATTGAGATTATTAACAATGCCCTATTGCTCAGATCCACAATCGACACTTTTGTCATCAGCAGTCAGGAAATAAAAAGATGAGTTGCTTTAGGAAAATCTGCTGTCAAGGATCTCGCCATAGTGTTAAAGAGCAATGATGTCACTCTAGAGACTAAGGTACACCTGCCTCAGTCCATGGTGTTCTCAATTCTTTGCTATGCATATGGGATCTGGACAATGACTGAGGATGCTCTCCTGTGCTGTCCCTCCACCCTCCCAAGCATGACATCCTTCTCCAAAGACTTGTCTCTCCTTGCAACTTGTCCCAAGTATGTCAGACAAAGCTTCAGAATCCTTGTCTCCGAGGAGCAGCCTGGTTTAACCCTCTCCAGGACAAACCTGTTTGTTCTCCTAGCAGTCCATGGTATATTCAATACTCTTCTCCAACACCCCAGCTCAAAAGCATCAATTCTCCGTCTATCTTCCCTAGTCATTGTCCAGCTCTCTGACACATAGCAAGTGACTGCAAAGACCATGGCCTGTATAAGACACACCTTATTCTCCAGATTGACACCATTGCTCTTCAGTACTTTGGAGAGGTCCCTAACAGCAGATTTTCCCATCACAATATGTCTTTATAGATGACCAATAATAGACAAAGAGCTCTGATAGCTTAGCTGTAAAGAATTGCACTGCCAATACAAAGGTGCACGGTTTGAATCCACCAGCTGTTCTGCAGGCAATCTTCTCTCATTTGATTTACAACCTCTGAAAACCCACTGGAGAGGCAGCTAGAAATCAATCCTTACAGCAATGAATTTTCAGTTATTACTATCCTAAACCACCCTATACCATAAACCGTCTCAATGTAGCTAGTGCTTCGGTTACTTTCTTTGCTGCCCATTCCTCTCTCAACAGTGAACCACAAGTCTTCCAAGGATGGTATGAAGTTTTTTCTTTTAGGACTTCTTAATAAAGACTGGAACTTGAGACTTCCAGAACTCCTGTCCAATGCTTGTGACCAATGATTAAGGCCTTTCTAAGTGGCTGAGAGAGCCCCAGTCACCAGCTTTGCTGGACAACATGGAGCCTCCTTGGGTGGTCAGAAGACATGTATAGCAACAAAAGCATCATCAGGGAGACTAAGTAAATTACAGGCAATCATTTTCTGAAATTTAAACTCAAGTTATCTTCATTTCTGGGGTTTCTGGCTTCTCTGAGGTCTGTCTCACTGACACTGAGACCTCTATCACCTTGGGGGGTGGGTGCAAATGTGCTGCAGAATCCAAAAGAGCATGCTCAGCTTTGGACTTCTGAAATAGGTTCTTTTCAAAGTTTGCTTAAAAATATAGTAGTTATGAAAAGCTAGGGAAACAGAAGGTTTTTCTAACTATCAGAGAAACTTCATTAAGAACTAGAAGCTACTCAGACTCAGGACACAGAATGCTCTTCTGTAAGTTCTAGAGTGGGGAGGTCACGGAATTAACACAAAGGCAGTTTCCAGCCCTCCAGGAAAAAGGAAAGGCCCTCTTGGGAAGATGAGAAGGCCCTCCAGGGAAGAAAACAAGAGCCACCAAGAGAAGGAACATATTGAAACATCAGGAGGAAAGCTGCAGAACTAAGAGAGTGTGAGTGGGGCCTGTCACCTGCCCCACTCAAGCCCAAAACTCCAGGGAAGGGGCAGAGGCAGGGGACAGATCCTTTTAGAAAACCCACAGCAGAGGGCCTTGCACTTTGGTACTCAACAGGAGTTCTCAGGGGAACTAGTGTTGCAGAGGCTCCATGCCATCATGAGTTAGCCTCAGTAGAGTATTTCTGATGGCAGGCAGCAAACAGGACCTGGCTTGGCTCCCTCCCTTCCCCTTGTGTGTGTTACACTTGCTTTCCAGTAGATCATGGAGGACATCTTAAAACTTTCTGACAACCCTCTAAGGGAATACAGGAGTGAGGTGAGATTTTAAATCAACATGACTGATAGATGGGTCACCACAGCACAAGGAAAGGAATCATGTAACAGAGACTGAGGCTGGGCAGGACAAAGTGGGAATAGGCTGAGAAGAGATAGAAGTAGCTGATATCAGAAAGCTACAATCGGGGAAGGAAGGAGATGTGCCTGAGTAGATCTTGATATGGCCCAGTGATGTGAAGGTGATGCGAGAGTGGTTTGGGAACTGCAAAAGTCCATGAGTAGCAGCGAAAGGTGAGGGTGGAGATTATGAGAAATCCCAGGGTTCCACTGGCTCCCAGCAATGTGGGGTGGTGACTCTGATGGCAGATGTCAAAGGGAGAATAATGTGTATGTTAAGACTTCTTGATTGAAAATTCTAAGGAAAGAATATAGTATCTCAAACTAGAGTATCTGTTCCATGCCACATGGTTTAATGAACAGGGGAAGTCATATATGTTGTTGTTGACTGCCTTTAAGTGAGTCAAGCACAACTCATAGTGACCCTATGAACAAAAGGTCTGAAGCCTTTCTATAACTATGGACATTTATCAAAGTTCATTGAGTTTCTGCAGGTATGTTGTTTAGGAAGTGGATGCCACTCCTGCTTGCAAGAAGGTATATATATATATATATATATATATATATATGGATGTAATTAATAGTGGTTATAGAGGAGATGTATGGTAGATGGTTAAGAAGCAGAAAATAAACTAAGCCATTTAAAATGTAGTTTTACACCTATCAATTCCAGTATCCCATCCCCAAACCCCGACTTGTTCAGTGAGAAAAGTGCTAACTTTCTGAAACTCAAGAACCACATCTGACTTCGAGAACATCACTTCTGAGTTTCAGGAAGGAAATCTTGCACTCGAGTCTTCAAATGCATACCCATTCTATTCTTGCATCTACATAGGATACCTGAGGACATCAGCATCACATGATCAGGTGATACTAGACCTATGATGAGAATGACTTTGGAGACAGGGAGTCCAGATCATTAATTAGGCAGTCATTTGTTGTCTTCTTTAATTTTTTTAAATTTTTTTATGATTTTGTGTGTGTACCGTCAAATTCGATCTGACAGGTAAAGGAGGAGATTGCCCCTCCTTTTCCAGCAGAGCATCTGGTGGATTTGAACCGCACACCTCTGAGATTGCAGTACAGCTTCTTGCCACTAGGCCACCAGAGCTTCCCTCATTTGTCATCTTCTAAAAGGAACTTTCTTAAGAGTATAAAATCATAGTGTTGCTGAGACTCAATCAATTGTGAATGTGGAATGATTGCCCTTTAGGCAAAAGTGTCCTGTGACTTTGCTCTGATGAACTGAGTGTTAACCTGAAGCTGACTATTTTGGTGCTCTAATTAGTTCCTATGTAAATAAACCTAGCATATACCAATAGCAAGTTCTTGTAGCCTAGTGGGTAAGGAGTTTGGCTGCTAACCCAAAGGCATGCCATTTTAATCCACCAGCAGCTCCGTAGGAAAAAGATAGGCAATCTCTCATGTGATTAATGGCCTCTAAAAACCTGCTGGAGGATCAGTTATGAGTCTGTTCTCTCTCAATGGCACATTAATAACAATATATGAATCCCCTACAGTTCGAAGATACAGGTCTCTTATTAAACCTGATCACTGCAAGGCATTGGACAGGTGATCACAGAAGATCGCCTTACCTGCTTCCTTTATATGCTTGTAAACATCATCAGAGCCAGCTGAAGAATATGGAATGTCATCATGGGCCACAAAGTCAATCTGTTTAGAGAGAGAGAGAAGAATGACATCAGTAGTGGATTTAAACAAGGCAAATGGACTTAATGGTAATTGGTTTCCTGCCCCAAAATGTCTTGAAACAAAACATTCACGTGCTAAATGTATACTGTTTGTGTGAATCCTTCCCATGCGAAAACAAGAGCTAGGAGAATAAATATTTGCTGGTAATAGTGACATTTGGGGCTGTCCTGTGCATGGTAAGATGCTAAGCAGCACCCCTAGCCTTTACCCACTAGATGCCAGTAGCACCCTCTACTTGTGATGACCAACAATGTATCTAGATAATGACAAATGTCCTCTGGGGGGCAATGTCACATCCAGTTAAAAACCACTGGATTAAACTCTATCATATGTATAAAAGTGCTTAATAGCTAGTATGAAATAAGCACTTAATAAACATTAATTATTATTATCATTCTATTTTTATTCCTCAAACATAATTCCCCCCTGCTTTCCAATGTGTAATAATAAAGATGATGATAATAACGGCAGTTCCTCCTCAGGGTAGCCATAAGGTTAGATGTGATCATGTAATAGCCAAGCACTTAACACTGCACTGGACACATGGTAAATATTTAATAAATGGCAGGCACCATAGCGTTATTGGCATTTCCCATCATGCCTAGCACAAGTTGCGTATACAATAGCTGCTTAGTAAAAATGTGTTGGTGATTGCTGGACGCAAATGATATTGTAGTTTTTCCTCTTTCTTTTCATTCTTGCTGGGAAATTGTCTCCTCTGCTATTACCCATGCACATTTATCAGTGTTCTCTATTCTCTTCTGCATCGTGAATTTAAAAATAGAAAAGAAAACTCTTAGAACAGCTTAATCTTATTTTTTTTTTGGTACTGCTTATAAAAGGAAAGAATAGCTCCTAATGCGAAGCTGGTAGGGAGATACAAAGCACATAATTTGATGCAGATCAAAAGAATTTCTCATGTTTTCAACTAATAAAAATCTTATGTCAGTATGAACGGTTTCTCTGGGCCACAAAAATTGAAGACACAGAGTTCTTTCCTTGAAGCATGACCCCTAACCTTTGGCTAAGATGTGTATTCATTTGCTCCATGAAAAATTAGTGTAGTGATTCTGTAAGCATCAATGATGATGATGATGCGAATGACAGCGGCTAGCATTTTTTAAGCTCTTACTATGGATTTTCTTTTATTAGAGCCTTGATAAAGCCTCGTGATGAAAGAGCTATGATAAACCAAAATTTATAGATAAGTGAGCATAGAGAGGCTAAAATATCTTCCTCAAAGTTCCACATTCAGGGAGAGAGAGAAGCAGCATTTAGGGAGTTCTGGTGGAATGGTTGTTGTAAGGTGCTGTCACATTTCAAAGTGACTTTATGAACAACAGAGCTGAGCCCTGCCATCTTGTGCCATCCTCACCATCTCAAATATATTCAAGTCTACTGTTTTAGTCACTGTGCCAGTCTATCTTGTTGAGGGTCTTCCCCTCTTTCTCTGACACTCCACAGTCCATCGCAAGTTGAGCTGCTAACCCAAAGGTCTGGTAGTTTGAGTCCACCAATAGTTCTACAAGGGAAAGATGGGAAATCTCCTAATGTGAGATTTACAGTCTCAGGAAACAAGGGAGGCTCAGCAATGATTCACATCTAACTTGACAACAATGAGTTTGAGAAGCAACATACAGGTCTGAGTGGTGTACCTCCAGAACCCACACTGGAGGAACTGAAAGGACTATAGGCCCCCATCAAGGCAAACTAGAGGAACTGCAATCATGTGACACCAACATGACAGTTCCTGAGGCTGCCTCTCGTAGATGTCTGAAGAATCTCTTTGGACCATCTGTAAAGTACTATACTCCCTAACCTGCTACTTAGAGAATGTAAATGAAGGAAAAGTACCTTGTGTTTTTCCAAGAACTCAGGTGTGAGTGTCCATGGAGCATCTCTGATGACTTCATCCACATAGCGACAGTGTCTCAGAGCTTCGTATCTTTCCGATTCATTCATCACAGTGAAACCTTTGAATTTGTGAGTGAGGTCATCACTGCAAACTGAAAGCAGCAAATGTGTTAAATGCAATTCCTGACCCTGCCCTTCTCACAACCACAAGCTTGCAGATCTAGCTTTCTTCAGCAAGACAAAAGGAGCGTAGCCTCACTGGGTGCTCAGCATAACTGAACTCAATTTTCCCCCCCAATTTAATAGGGACAATGGATCAAGAGAGTGAAGCAAGCTGCAATCCCCCAGCCATTCAGAATTTCATTTCAGTGCTAATTACCATTGCAGTTTTTACGAAAAGTGTTCTCCACACTACCTAATGTGATTTTCTTATCTTTATTTGCCTAGGTCACCCTTTAGTAAAAATAATTGGAAATAAATTAACTACTGTTATTTAAAATAAAAAATCACAACAACCAACAAACTTAAAGCAAACCTGAGAAAGGTTTAGACATGAAAGACTCAATCTAATATGGTAACTGGGGTGGGGGGGAGTAGGAAATGAATGGATAGACAATGAACACTTTATAGGTGAAGAGGAGGACGATGTGAAATGAATGGACAATCAGGCATTGTGTGTACTATAATTAACAATATGGAACAGGATATGCATGGCTGAGTGACAAAAAAACCTAAATAAAGGTTTGCACACAGATAGAAATAACTGTGGAGGACTGACAGAGACAGGAGGGAAGGGAGGGGGTGGGGAGATAACAACGGACGCTGAGGCTGAAGGGAAAGGGAAGACACAGCAAGGATTTGATGAGACTGCTGTAAGAAATGGCATTGATCAATTGTAAGTAATGTTCTACAATAAAATGTTGCAGAATGGTTGAATAAATACAAATTTAAAAAAGAAACAACTGAATGAACGGACTAAGTAGGGAGAAAGAAGAACTAAGAGGACTGAATGATATAAAGTTTCAGTGATCAGCTCCAATTCCTTCACTAGATCACAGTACCTATTGACCAAGAATAATTCATGTGTGTATGTGCACATAGATAGTATGTATATACACATACCACTCGCACACTTCTGTTACCTGGATTAAGATCCAATCACTATGTATCAGACTATACAACCAAGGAGAGAAAGTCAAAATACCAGATTGCATCTAGCAGAGCGGAATCTTGCTACATCTCTTGTCCTTTCCAGATCTGAGGTTTCTGTAACAGTCACAATCAGCTTTAGAAAAGAACCTGGTGGTGCAGTGGCTGAGCACTTAGCTGCTAACCAAGCCGTCTTCAGTTCAAGCCCACTAGCTGCTCTGTGACAGGAAGAAGTGGCAGTCTGCTTACGTCAAGCTTTTACATTCTGGGAAACCTCATGGAGCTGCTGCAGCAAGGCAGAACTGACATGAAAGCAGCAAGTACTGGCCTTGAAAGGAGTTCAGGTACAGTGGTTAGGCACTTGATTGCTAACCAAGAGCTGGTGGTTCAAATGCACTCCAAACTCACCTCTCCTCTACTAGAGAAAAATGTAGCAGTTTGCTTCCATCAAGATGTATGGCCGCGAAAATTCTCTGGGACTATTCTATTCTATACTGGAGGGTTGCTATGACTCAGAATCAACATGATGCCAATAGGTTTGGGTTTTTATTAGCCTTACAAAGGATTTTATTTTTAGGATGGAGATATACAGAAATATATAGTAGTTATTACCCTATCCCAAATTATATATATAACTTTATATTATATATAACTATATATTTAACTATATATATAAATATGAATACATAAATTATATATATTTATTTGTTGTTGACAAAGGCATTTTTTCTAAGATTTCCCATGTTTGGAAGAAAGATCACTATGCTAACAATCTCGCTTACCAATACCATTGAGGACCCGGCGCTCACCACTGCCGACTGGGCCTCACTCAGGTTCTCTTTAAGCTATTACATATGATTATTTCTATTGATTGCATGAGTTGTTCAGTGGAATTGCACACTGTAATGAGTGAAAAAAGGCATTTGGTATATACAATAAGTGTGCAGATTTTTAACAGTCTCAAGTGTGGTTTAAAATGTATTTTCCTTAAATCAAATGATGCGAGAGCAATGGAATAAAATTGAGAACCCAGACATTTATCTATCTGTGGTCAACTGATATTTGACAAGGAAACAAAACCTATCAAGTGGGGAAATGACAACTTCCTCAACAAATGATGCTGGCAAAATTGGCTACCCGTAGAAAGCTGACACAGGATGCACATCTCTCAAAAATCAACTTAATGTAGATCAGAGACCTAGGGGTAAAGCCCAAAACCATGAAGATTGTAAGAGACAAAGTAGGACCAACTTAGAAGGCTTAGCTCATGGTATAAAAAGGCTGACTAATACAGCCAGAAATACACAACTAGGAGAGGATAAAATTGATGAATGTTCCATTGATCACAAAACAGAGTGAAAGGAAAACCTCACTGGAAAAAACCATTTGGTAAAACCATCTTGGACAAGGGCCTCATAACAAAAGTTTACAGAACCTTAAAGGGCCTCTACAAGAAAAAGTCTGATTGCACAATTACAAGATGGGCAAAAGACATGGACAAAATTTTCACAGAGAAAGATATTCAGATGGTCAACAGACACATGAAGAAATGCTCAAAATCACTGGCTACACAATGAGCTACCATCTCACTCTAGTTGCAGTGGCAAAGTTTAACAGGACAGCAAGTACCAATTAGAGGAGACGTGGTGAGATAGGAAGTCTTATACAATCTGGAAGGCAGTTTGGCGCTTCCTCAAAAAGTCTATCATAGAAATTCTGTATGGCCAAGCTATTCCACTGTTTGGAATATACCCTGGGAAAATTAGAGAGACAAATGGAGATTTGCACACCAATGTTCATAGCTACATTATTCACCATCACAAGAACATGAAAACAGCCCAAATGCCTAACCACAATTGAATGGATTAAGACATTATGGTACGGGGAGATCTGGTGGCCTAGTGACAAGAAGCTGCACTGCAATCCCAAAAGCGTGTGGTTCAAATCCACCAGTTGCTCTGCTGGAGAAGGAGGGACAATCTCCTCCTTTACCAGTCAGATCCAATTTGACAATACACACAGACACACACAAAATAATGGTACATTCACATGATGGAAAACTACACAGCATGCAAAAGCAATGGTATTAAAAAGTACTACATAAATTGAGAGAGACTGGTGAGCATTATGTTAAGTGAAATTACTCAGTCCTTTAAGGACAAATACTTTGTAAGACCGTTATTATAGAAATAGAGACGAGCCATTTGGCCCTCAGGGTGAGCTCCTTAGCCATCAGGTGGTGCCATCGAAATCCTGTGTAGAAAAAAATTGCCTAGGGTATACAGAGAATTTTATCTAGGCTATTTTCCTCCACCCTCTCCCCCAGTACACCTGTAAGTAATACCCCAAAGCCTTTCTATTTGTAACTCACAAGTTTGTTCTCTCTAGGTTTGCTCCCTTTCCTATAGGTAACCTTAACACTGAGTTTTACTTCAGACCTGACCCTAAACCCAGTTCCAGAGGCAAAAAGGAAATATACCTGCCAGTTAAGAAAGCAAAGGAGGATGGAGCCTCAGGGTTCAGTCAGCCATCCCCAATGGACCCACCTGGGAAAACACTTTGCAGTCCAGAGGGGAGTAAATGTCAAGAAAATATCTTCTAACAGAGCAAGAAGACAAGCAGCTTTAACCCAAGACCACCAGTAAGGTGATAAAGTGTGCTCCCTTTCTCCCTTCATATCAACACCTCTGTTCAGCATGAAGAAGCCAGAGAGTCTGAGCCCAATTCCCAAATGAGAAAGTCACAAGTAAATAAGACAGTTTGTTTAATCACTATTGGACTATGCTTACCACTGCCCTGTATCATCTGGGCCCCACTGGATTCTTTTCATTTCCTTTACCTACTGCCCCCACCAACCAAATTGTGCAGTCCTACAACTGCATCCTTGCAATTTCATCCCTGCCCATCCTCACCCTTCTGCTCCCGACCCTCACCTCCTTGTATCCCCAACATGTTTTTCCCAATAAAATTTTTTTTAAAAAAAATAGAGATATAAGTAGTAAAACAGGTATAAGGATACAAGAGGGGGAGGGTAGGAGCAGAGTGAGGATGGGCTGGGCTGGGGGATAATCATAAGGTCACACAATTTAATTGGTGGAGGGAGAGGAGAGTAAAGGAAATGGGAAAGATCCAGTGTGAAAAAATAATGCATCTGACTTTTGTAAGCAAATCAGTATAAAGTAAATTTCTTTCTTTAAAACACAAAGCTAACAAAGTTGAAATTAGTAAGAACCAGTAGTTTGTCTATTTAAAGTAAATAGATGACCACACTCATAAAGGTCAAACTGGGGCATAAATGAAGTTACCAAAAAGTGTCTATTCTGGTTGTGCTCCAGGGTACATTGGTCAGCAAATAAAATTTTAATGTTCATGGAAAAAATAAAAAAAACCCACCAAACTACAACACAAAAAACTACATCTCAAAAAAACAAAACAAAACAAAAAAATCTCTATTTAAAAAAAAACAAACACAAAACCAAAACAAACAAACCACACAAATCCAAATGATGCCCCATACTCTTTGTTGTTTTGTATTTGGGGTGTGTGTGTGTGTTTTGTTTTTTTTTTAACAAAGTGAAGACATGTAAAAACCAACCCTGTTAGTAGCAAGCCTATTGGCACTATTTTCCCAACAGTATATGCTCACTTCATGTCTCGGTGTGACCTTTTGGTAATTCTCACAATACTTTAACATTTCATAATGCTAATGCACACAGAGACCATAGTCTGGCATAAGTATAACTCCTATATGTGTTGGGAAACCAAAACAGTGGTAGGATTTGCTTTAGTATGATATTGGCTTCCTTGTGGGTGATCTGGAAGCAAACTAGAAATCTCTCTAATGCATTAATTGCAGCCCATGCCAGAGACACCTGTCTTCTATGATTAAGTCACACAGACACGCTAAAGCCAGGACAAGGTACAACCTGAGTAATCCCCAGGACAGGCAAAGTAATCTCACATTCTCTAATGATAACGACTACAGAACAAATAAATTAAAATC